ACACTTAATACAACGGACAACAACAACAGCATCAACAACAACAGCAACAACAACAACAATAACAACAGCAACAACAACAACAACAACAATAGCAACGAACAAGAGATCGACTAAAAAAAAGCACGTTTACTCACTTGTGACGCTTGTATTAAAATAGGCCTGTTCAGAATAAGCCAGGTGACTGTCTCAAGACACGCCGGCTGTGTAAAGGAACCCTCGTAAGTCACATAGTAGTTCGTCTCTGGGACTAAAGCCGCCAGGTTGAAATTCGGTACTCTAACAGCATTTCCTAAAAGGGGCCAGCGAGAAATACGTACAAGAATAAAAGTTAGCAGAATGATTCAGATGGTTGCCGGGTGCTGTGGGTTGGTCTGCTCCTTCTTTCCTAACAATCATTTTTGGTCCTTATCTCTCCTCCTTCTTTTTTGTATTTCTCTCTTCTTTCCTATCAATCATCTTTAGTAATTATCTCTCTACCTTCTTTTTTTTGTTTCTCTCATGTTTCACCTCTAATCGTTGACACGTATATGACCCGATTGCGTTGAAAGAGACGTAAAATACTTCCTTTAACAACACAAAAGTAGTTCGTTCCTCTTATTTTTCAAAACAATTATTTTGTCTCTGCATGCTCTACAGATGTTGGATTTGAGTTTGAAAAGAGAGAAGCACATCGACACAATAAAGGTTTTATAGTGCAGGGAAGAAGCAAGACAGATAGAAAGAAACACGGAGTAAAAGAAAAGAAGTAGGACTAACCAGTGGCGCCCTCCAACTACCCAGATGGTCTAAATATTTGGACGAGATTTTTTTCAACACCTAGAAAATGTGCACCCAATAAACGTCTCCTTGGGGACTCTTTTGTTCCACAATAATATGCTATGGGTGGTTGGTGGGCGTCCAGGTGTGGTTTGCTCCTTCTTTTCTATCAAACATCTGTACATCTGTTGTCCTTATCTCCCCTCCTTTTTTCCCTTTGTATTTTACTCACTGGAAACACCTCTAACCTTTGGCACTTATATGACCTATTTGTGTTATAAGTGCCGTAAAACTCGTAGTGAATCTATGACTTTAAACTAAACCAAAAAAATATGCTGAAGCTACTGAACCTGAGCTACAAACTGATTAACTTTCACCTCACCTTGCCAGGGTATCCTTTTTGCAACATTTGTCAAAATTGTGAAAGCGCTGTTTGCTTCTTTTTCTGATCTAGTGGCCTGCAAAGTGAAGAAAAAAGTTTTAAAATCTGTTCAGTCTTTGATCCATATCACACAAAGCATACACATTTTACACAAGGGACTCCCGCGAAGCTATTTAAATTATAAATGACACACTTATCATCATCATCATCATCATCATCATCATCATCATCATCATCATCATCATCATCAATGGCAATGCGAATGGAGTTATTTGGACGAGTGGGGGTGCCGCTAAGCATATTGACAATGGAGCCAAAAAAGAGCCTCGCTTTCGCTCGAAGATTTCTTCGTGGAGTCCACCAGGCCCATTAAGAAAAAAAATCATCATCATCATCA